TTGGCCTTGGTCTTTGCTAACCTCGGGTTTATTTACCCAGTAATTAATTAGCCAGGGCCCAGGCCAGCATCATGGTCAGGGCCATCCCCAGAGTCCACCAAGCACCAGCAGAGCAGGTGTGGCACCACAACAGTTTGACCGGTTCATCATTCCGGGCTGCTCGGGAGTGGTGAGGGATTCTCCTCTGTTCCTGCTCTCTGAGACACAGTGTGGGAATAACAGCCCCTTCCAGGCTGTTTCTTCCACGCTCTTGCTCTTTTCTGCCCCAAGTCTCATCTCCCCAAATGCTGAATTATGCTGTGGCTCTTGTGCAGTCTCCTTGATGGGTGGGAGCTCAGGGGCAGCACCCTCAGCTTGGATGATCTTGGGTCACTGCAGGGGTTGGTGGGGAGATGCCAGGTACGTGCAGGACATGACTCAGTTCCTGCCAGTTGGGAGCCAAACTGCCCGGGAGAGGCTGAGCTGGCTGCAGGCTGGCAGTGCATCCTGCTCCACTCCAGCCCTGCTCAGCAGTGCCTGCCCGGGTGTCTGGCTGGCATCCAGCTCTAGTAAAGAGCAGTAGAAATGCAGTGAGATCCTTTGGAAAAGAAACAAACAAACAAACCTGCCTGCCCATCCTACCAAGCAGAGGCACAGAGCCTGGAGAACACAGAGCACCTTCCCGTGCCCTGTGCTAACGGATAACTTGGTGGTTGATGCTCTTCTGGAAAAGCTGTGGACCTTGCTGAGCTACCAGTGAAGTGGAGGAGCCACAGGACACAATGATGTCTGCTGGGTGAAGGGCATCATCTCCAGCTGTGGGCCAGCTTGGGAGACATCTCCAAGCAGCACTGACTGGGGTGGTTGCTCTCTCCATGGTGCAGTGGCTGGGAAGAGCTGCCTTGTCCCCCATTCGGTTTTGGTGTCAGCACAGCAGGTACAGACCAGCCTGGCATTTGTGTGTGGTAACATGGTCAGGTCCATGCTGGAAAAGCAGCTGAACTTGCCTTAAAAATACTTGACCCACTGCACTCCAGGCTGTGTGACTGGGACCCTGGTGGCAGACCCAGAGTTGTGTGTCAGCAGAGCATCACTCCGTGGTGGCATCAGGGTTCCTGCAGCCTGTCCTCTGCAGGGACACTGGGTGGGAGCTGAGAAAATTAGCTGCTTGATGATGATTACACCAGTAAAGAGGCTTTGCTTGGCCATGTCATAGGAACTAATGCATTGCCAGGTTATTTCATCTCAATAAATCATTTTAAAATATTCAGCTGTTATTTACATTAAAGCAACATTTGATGCCTCTGGGCAGAAACACAGAGAAGATTCAATATTTGTTACACATTAATTGAGCAGACTTAGATGAGTAAATTTACTTTAATATTTTTTTTGCCTAATAATATTAAGCCTAAAAGAGAATGAAGGAGGGGTTTGCTGGGGCATTCAGAGCTGTGAAAATCTGTTGATTCCTTGCTCTCTGGTCATGTTCTGTGGAGCTTAGGAGAAGACTTGAGTGTCAGCTGGCCCAGCCCTTTCCTGTTTTTCTTGGTGGTGGTTTGTGTTGGGGGCTGCAGCCCTGTGCTGCCCCTCACCCATGAGACTTGGTGCCTTGGGCTGGTCAGTCAGGCTCTTCTTTATCACCTGATTCTTAACAGTGAACATCTAAGTGAACAGTGAACATCTGTTCACTTAAGACAGTGTCCTACCCAACAGGTGTATTGAGGTAATAACAAGGTAATGAATGAACCATCCCCAGTTTTCTCTTGGCTCAGCAACCAACTGGGACCCTTCTCCATAGTCACAGTGATCATCATTGGTACCTGGGATCAATCCACTGAGAGCAGACATATTGGGAGGAGTTTGCAGCACATCCCTGTGAAAACAAGGAGCTAATGTGAGGAGTTGGTCACTGTGAAGAACTATCTCCACTTCTACAGAATCACAGAATTGTCAAGAGTTGGGAGGGACCTCTAGAGATCATCTAGTCCAACTACTCTGCTAAAGCAGGACTGCATCCAGGTGGGTTTTGAGTATCTCCAGAGACAGGGACTCCTCAGCCTCCCTGGGCAGCTTCTCCCAGGGCTTTGTCACCCTCATAGTGAAGTTTTTCCTCATATTTAAAGGAAACTTCCCATGTTCCAGCTTGTGCCCATTGCCCCTTGTCCCATCACTGGGAACTGCTGAGAAGAGTCTGGCTCCATCCTCCTTGCGCCCACCCTTTAGCTACTTATAGGCATTAATAAGGTTGTAATTAATAAGGTAATATTAATTATAATTGATAATGAGAACCATTTCTTCCCTGCTTTGACAGGCCTGCAGCCCTCTCCATTGCTCTGTCTCTTCCAAACCCAGAGCACCCCATGGTTTTCCCTCTCCTCCTCCTCCCAGAGGCCCCCCAGCCATGCTCCTGCCTGCAGCTCTGCTGTGTGTGCTGGGGAAGAGTGAGCAGCACTTTCATAAACAGGCCACCATTACAGGCACTTAACTGGTTTTGTAAACCTTCAAGCTGAGCCTTCTCTTTGCAGAGGAGTTCAGGAGCAGAGCAGATGGAAGAAGCCTTATTTGGGGCCTTATGTTTACAGCAAGAGGCAGCAACCACTGCCTGCAGCCTGGAGTGGTGCGGGGACCACTCAGGGCACACTGAGCTTGGTGGCTTTTCCTGTTGCTCCTGCCCACAGCCTGGTTCAGAGCACAAAGCTCTTGACCCTTCAGTTTTTCTTCCTGAGCAGTGGTCCCTGCTGCATTTTGCAGTCTCACTACAGTGTTTTTTTTGGGCTGGGCTGTGACATGACGAGGCAGCAGAAATTCAACTGAAGTGATGGACTAAGTGTGACTAGCACAAGCCAAGCAGCCATGGTCTTCTCCTCCCACGTGCAGAGCTGTAGGTCAGCAGCAGCTCTTGGTGCTCCTACAGCACTGACTAAGTTCAGCCAATGTTGTAGCTCAAGGCTCAGACCTTGCCAAGAGATCAGATTTCTGGGAACTTGCTCTGAATCAAATCTTCATGTTTTCAGGCCCCACAACCCCAGACCAGTTCCAGCTCCTGAAAACATAATACTGGGTTTTGAAAGCAGTAGGCTTGGCCTCACTGCTAATTTCTCATCTTCTGAAGCAGTGACTTAGTAATAATAAGAGAAAAGTGCATCAGAAACCCCTCAGTGGCTGGACCTGCCCTTTAGACACCCCATGGAGTCCGTTCCCAGCTCAGCATCACCTGGATGCAGCTGCTGCTCCCACATCCTCTGGGGCCTTGCTCAGAGGGAGCCCCGCTCACAGTGGCCGTGCAGGAGCTCAGGTCTCCCCCCAGCCCTTTCTGCCACCCAGTTGGTGCTGGCAGGACCCCTCCTGCCTTTGCAGCCTGCAGGAGAGGGACACTGGGCTGGCCCGGAGGCGAGCGCAGCGTGATTCACAGCACAGCTGCGGGGCTGTGGGAATCAAACCCTCCCCTGCCTCTTGGGCCGGAAGAAAATCAGAACAAACGTTCTTAGGAAAGGAGGAGCAGAGCAGCCAAGCCAGAGTAAACAAGCCCTGGGAGAAGGGTGTGGGAAGGGGGGGCTGTGTGTCAGCCAGCAGACATGGGCTGTGGACAGGACAGTGGTGGGTTTCTTATGACGACTTTCTGGCAGTCACTGAGATCTTCCTATTTCCAAAGAGCCATCCCACTGGTGCTTTGATATTGGCATCTGCTCTGGTTGCATCCCAACAAGCTTGACTGTTGCTGCTTAAGGTTGCAGCCCTGTTTGTGTCTCTGAACATATGGGGGCTGGAGGGGCACCATTCTTTTCCTGGCCATGAAGGCACCCATGGCTCTGCACCCCTCAGTGCCCCTGGGCCAGCACAGAGCTTCCTTGGAACTGTGAGAGCAGCAGGTGCCCAAGGAACGTGTTTATTTAAATATCTGGATCTTTTCAATCAGTTATGGTGGGTGAGCAGAGCACAAGCATCATCTGACAGCAGCAGCTACGCATGGCTCTGTGGTTTAACCCCACCTTCAGCAGCTGCAGGTCTGAGTCTGTCTGTAGCTTCAGGACTTCTCCATGGTGTGCTGCAGAACCAGCAGCAGGGGCTGACAGCAGCCCTGGGCACTAAGCAAAGGTGCCCATGTCAGCACTGATGGAGGAGGCACAAAGCAGGGACATCAACTAAGGGGAGCCCAGTGTCCTTGGCTCCCAGCTCCACACCTGGGTGTCAGGCTCTGAACGGAGCCACAAGCCCCAGGGCACCTGTCACTCCTGAGCAATCCAGCACGAGCAGTTGCTTTCAGATGCTGGCTCAGAAAAGTCTTTCAGAGCGTTTGTTCTCCAGCCACAAGCAGCTCAGGTGGGCAGCCTGGCATGTGTGAGGCAGGAATTGTGCTATTTGGGAAACTGGGAGACTCCCTGGTTTCCACACGTGTAGTTCCCACCTTAGTGTCCGAGGCAGCACAGGAAGGGACAGCCAGAGGGGACTGCTGCAAGCTCCAGTGAAAGCCAGCACTGCTGCAGGCATAAGGTGAAGCAAGTTGGCTGTGGTATAAAGGCTGTAAGCGTGTGGTGGTGCTGGTGGAGTCTTTACCTGCCCATCATGGTGTGGAACTGACAGGCAGCAGCATCTCAGCCCTATAGGTCAGCCCAGAAGTTCCTGTAGCTCCGCAACCTGCCCTGGCGTGCTCAGTAATGGATGCTGAGAGCAAGAGAGCAAGTTGGTGGTTGCCCCCTGTTCTTGCCCTCCCCGTGGCTCATGCAGTGATGAAGCCTTTTTCATGCCTGCAAGTCTTACTGAAGGATGTTTGTGGGCAGGGGCAGTGCTGGGCACCTCTCAGGAATAGTAAGTGAGTCACCTCCTCAAATCACTTTGTGTGGGTGTAGAGCACAGGTGAGACTTTTTTACCCCTCTGGTGATCACAGAGGTGAGGGAACTTGTGTGGATATGGGTGGGGCTTTTGTGGCATTACCCAAAATGCTGATGACTTTGACTGCAGGGAAGTCATGTGTGCTCAATTCTATGATTGCTCTATCTTGGTTTTGTTCTTGATGCTGTAGGTACAACAGTCTGGTGACGGGCAAGCGGGCAAGAGGCCTCATTGCTGTGCTGTGGCTCCTGTCCTTTGGCATTGGACTGACTCCACTTATGGGCTGGAATAAAGCCATGAGTGGTTGTCCCAATGCCACCAACGAGACAGGGGTGGACACTGGGACAGAGCACCATGGCTGCTTCGTCTCATGCCTCTTTGAGAACGTGGTAACTATGAGCTACATGGTGTACTTCAACTTCTTTGGCTGTGTGCTGCTTCCACTCCTCATCATGCTGGGAATCTACATCAAGATATTCATGGTTGCCTGCAAGCAGCTGCACCAGATCGAGCTGATGGGCAACTCCAGGACCACGCTGCAGAAGGAGGTCCATGCAGCCAAGTCTCTGGCCATCATTGTAGGACTTTTTGCCTTCTGTTGGCTGCCCCTGCACATCTTGAACTGCATCACTCACTTCCACGAGGAGTTCTCCAAATCCAAGCCTGAGTGGGTGATGTATGTGGCCATCATCCTCTCCCATGCCAACTCTGTCATCAACCCCATCATCTACGCCTACAGGATCAGGGACTTCCGCTGCACCTTCCGCAAGATCATTTCCAAGATCCTGTGTAAGTCAGATGACCTCCCCAAGTGCACCACTGACAACAACCACCACCTGACTGTCACCAACATTAGCTGTCCCACTGCCTCGGTGACCATATGACCGGGCACCTCCTGCTCCCAGGACTTTGCATCTGTCCCTGACAAGACCCTGCCCTGTGCCTACGTGACCAGTTCTGGTGACCTCCCCGGGGGCTGCTCAGAGATGACCACTATGCAGCCATGCAGCTGTATTTTTTTAATTTTAATTTTTGTAATTAACATAGTGCCTCGTAGAGGAATAACCTGAGGGGGGGTGGGGGTGGGGGCAGTGCACCCTCAGCTGCTCACCCAGGTTGTGTGAGTGCTGGTGATCCTGTTGTATTTCCTTTCCTGGTCAGACACTGACTGTGGAAGACCCACCTGCTGGGGGTGTTTCCCCCATTGTGCTGCTCATGACAACTCCTAGGATCTTTTTATTTTAATTATTATTATTATTATATAATTATTATTTTTTAATATTATGATTCGTTTAGGAGTAATAATTTTGTGTCTGTTTTTGAGTTGTTCTTTAAGTCCATACTTGACAGCACTTTGGTAATACCCTAATTATTCCATCAATTGTTTGATGCAGTGAGTATTCTCTGATGGGAAAAAGTCTCAGCCCAGTTGCTGGTGTGAAACTGAATCTGTGTTCCAGGCTCTGAGGGACGTGACTATGTTGATGTGAAAACAAGCTCAGAACTGGCCAGCTATTTTTGGCCCCAGCATGGAAGCCCTAGTTACTGAAAGAGCAGAATTTGAGAAAAGGGACTGAAGTTTGAGAAGGGCAGTTTTCCTGCCTTGAAGTCACTCTGGACTAGAGGATTGTGCAGACCAGGGCTTCAGGTTTGAGTTCAAATCTGGTTCCTGACTTCCAGAAGTGCCCTGATGGGCTCAGCTGATCTGAGGTTGGTGCAAACACTGCCTTGGTGACATGATCCCTGCACTTAGGCTTTTGCTCCCAAGCCCACACCTGGCAGCCCTGCAGTGCTCCCAGAGGGCAGGTTTTAGCTCTGAGAGCTGGATTCCTAAAGCTTGTGTAGCCCAGTAACCCCAGAAGCTGTGAGTGCTTTTTTTTTTTTTCCCTAATAGTGATTTTTAGGTTTTTTTTTTAGTCCTGACCTGCATCACTAGCAAAAGAGACTGGAAGGGACCAACTTTGCTTGAGAAGCTAGAAAGCCTTGACTTGCAGCCTGACTTTCTGTGGTGCCCAGGCAGGGAGGGAGAGCTGGGGAGCAGGACTTTTGGAGCCAAGTGGAAGGCAGGGAAGGTTGAACACAGCTTGTTGCTGAAGGACGTGTCCAGTGGACAGACTGAGATGCCTGGAGCAGTTTGTCCCTGATCATTTTTACTTGAATCCTATAGAAATCAGCTATTTTTTTTAACTGCATTGCACTAGAAGGGGCTAATGTAAGACCCCAACAGTTTCATTTCTCTGGCCTATATAATGATAAATATGGTGTAAAATCAGCTGAAAAGCTGATCTGAAGTAAATCCTGTTCCTGCAACATCTGCTGTGCTGGCTGGAGTGACCTGCAAGTCTGACTTAGGGCCCACCATGTGGGCAGGGGACAGGTCAGGAGGGGTGAGTTTCATGACCATGCAGCTCAGCCCTAAGAACCAGCCCCAAACTTTGGTGAATCACCAGTTAACTCTGAATGGGTCTGTACATGTTTGTGCAATGTCCAAATTTAGCTCCAGCTCAGTGTCACAGGTACCGGCATTTCCAAGAAGAATCTTGACAGTCAAAGCTACTGACCCAACAGTTTCTCCTTTTTAACAGCTCCCATTCAGCTTTGCTGCATCTGCCTTGGTCGTGGTCCAGCTGACACATGTAGCCACGTCCTGCCATGTGGGCAGGGCTTGACTTTCTCCTCCTTTCATTCCTTCCCTTCTGGATTATCTTTGGCTCTGTTCCTCAGGTCCAGCAGGGCTGGAAACAACCAGAGTTTCACCTGTGCGTCTGGCAGTGCTGCAAAGTGGTTCCAAGCCACATTTATCCTTACAACAAAGAATGTCATCTCTCCCCTCCTGCTGGCTGAAAACGAACCAAACTGTGGGCAGCACGACCAGGGTGTTGAGCACTGAGCAGGCTGGAGCCACTGCTGCCACCCCTCACCTGCTTCTCAGGAGCCAGGATCCCCACAGACAGACATGGTGTGTCCTTGGTCAGACTGTGCTGTCAGGCTGTTAACCAGTATTAACTATGGCCCAGGTCACCATGGTCTTCAGGCACTTTTAGTGCCTTTGTGGCTGTGAGACACAGTCATTTGAAGGCAAAAATAAGACCCCCCCTTCCCTGGCCCCCCTCAAAAAAACAAGCTCTGAAGGTTTCTATAAAAATGTGAAGTTAAAATGGCAGAGGAACTTTGTGCAGCTGTAGCTGATCAGCTGTCACTCATTACTGCTCTGATGAACATAGGATGGGTGTGTTTTCCTCATGTTGCTCAGATTTTGTATTTTCAGTCACTGTTATTTACATACAGAAATGCTTCAATTACCACCTACACAACTTGGCTCAGCCCGTGTCCTTCTTTCCCACAGTGTGTCCTGGAGGAGCCCAAGCTCAGAGCACGGGCAGGGACTCAGAGCTGGAAGGGGCTGGTTCCCAGCTGAGGGGCTGGTGTGTGGGATGGGACAGCAGCAGTTTCCTTTCCCTGTCTGATGAGGACAGTCTTGCCCTGCCTGCCACCAAGAGGTGGTCAACATGTCTGACACAGGTCAATTTAAGAGTGCACAACCAGGGTGATGCTCCCAAAGCTCCTGCATCACAGCACAGCAGCAGCACAGACCCCTCTAGGTGCTGAGGGGCTCCTGCCCCAGTCCCTGGTACAGATTTGCCAGTGATGAATCATACACCCCCCTGAGCAGCCACAAGGATCCAAGAGCCATGGCCACATCACTCTGCCAGAGCCCACCCCCCAGGGCCATGCAGGCACTGGAAGCCACAACATTACAAATCAGTTCAAACATGTTCAGCAATCCCAGGAGCAGCCTAAATAAATGAAACTGAAGTCAACATGGGCTTAACATTTATGAATTAATCCATCACTGCAAGGCTGCTAATTAATGTCACGCTTGGGAGAAACCTACCAGCCACAGGGAACTCCTGACATCCTTGTAGATATGAAAAGTGCCAGCGACACAGCTGGGAGGGTGCACAGAAAACACATCTGCATGTGATCCCAGAGTCCTTCACCCTTCATCCTCTTCATCAGCCAGTAAGATGCTTGTGAGCTGCTCCTCAGAGACAGGCAGTTCCTGGCAGGCTCCCATGGCCTGACTGAGGTAGACAGCAAGTATATGTTTGCACTGCAAAGAATAGAGCAGCCAAGTCACCAGCAGGAGCAAGGCAGGAATGTCATGCTCTATCTAGGAGCTACAAAAATCCATCCAGGCCAGGATGGGGCTGATGAAGCTCTCACCCTCCCAGGAACATGGTTCCCTCTTGATACACCAAGCCCTGGCACAGGCTGGTGCTCAATTCCCCCAGGTCAGTCCTGCCATCAGGATAATGACCAGGATCTGACACACAGCAAAGTGTTACTGGCTCCTGGTGCCACCCTCCACAACAGCAGACCAACTGTTTACCCTGAGCCCTTCCTCACCCAAGGTGACCTGCACCACTTCTTCAGCCAGATTCCATGTGGCAGTCCCAGGGCTGGCAATGGTCTTTGTTCCAAGAGACCAAGGGTTATTAATGAACAAGATCCCTCCCGAGCCCTGGTAAGGCCTCATCCCACCCAAACATGGTGGTTCCCAGAGACCAGCTTGTGCAGTGGGTCAGGCACAGCCTGTGTGGCCAACTCAACACTCCAGGCTGCTCAGGTTCCTCCCTGCTCCCTGTCCCAGGTCAAGGCAGAGAACTTACCAGAAGGCTCTCGCTCTTCTGCAGCACAGTAAAACCAAAAGCAGGACACGTGCAGAAGTGGCAGGAGCTGTAGCAGGTGTAGAGTTTGCCTGAGCTCCCAAGGACCTGAAAAAAAGGCAGCAGGGAGGTGGGAGGCAGAGTTCACTTGTAATTGCTCTCACCCCTAGCCTGGGTGGGACAGTGTCACAATACGTGTCCCCAAACACTGCAGTGACCCATCAAGTGTGCAGGTCCTCAGCTTTCTGATGGTCTACACACTTCAAGTTTCTTCAAGACTGGAAAATAGCTTCTAGAGAGCTACTTTAAGAGCCAACAGCTCTCCTAGTGCAAGGGAAGGGTTTGCAGGAGCAGAACACACTTGCAAATTTAAAGGTAGGGATCTACATGGGGGTCACCACCAGCACTACCCTCTGCACACAAGCCCCTGGGCTCTCACAGCACATCACACTCCTCTCCCATACCAGGTTTTGGATTCTGGTTGGATTTTTGGCACACATACACCTAAATCCAAAGATAAACAGGAAGAAGTGAAAAGACTGGAGCTCTGCTGCTCCCTGGCACTGCTCAGTCCCTCCAGAGGAACAGTCCCTCCCCATCCAGAGCTGCACTTGCAAGAGGAGCCTTCCCCTGTCCCCTGGAGCTCTCTCTGCACCCCTTGCCCAACAGGTAATGTCCACAAGTTAAACTCTCCCACAGAAGCACCTGTGCCTCACAATCCCCTTATTCCCAGCAGATTCAAGATACAACTCCCATTCCCATTTCAGGGTAAACAATTCATTTTCCAGTCTGGCTTTTACCCCGGGCCCTCCTTGTACTCCAGGCTGAGTTTGTTTCACTTGTGATAAGTTTGTTTTCCTCTAATCTCTTTGATTGTTTTTTCCAAGACCAAGTATTCCAGTGGTGCCTTCAGAACTGTTTGCGTTTGAGGAGGGGGGAGGAAAACACAGACACTGCCAGATTTGGGCTGAGTTTAGTGCTCCCCCATCCTGACCTAGATGGCAAGAATGCAGCTTCTGCCTAATAAGGCAGAGCCTAAAATCCAAAGACCAAAAGAAAAAGGTGCCTCTGTTTCTGGCCAGGCACTGGGGTGCTCTCTTGGCCCTGAGATGCTATAAGATTTCCTTCCCCTGCCCTCATCTCCAAGCCCTTGCTGGTGGCACAGGGAGGAAAAAAATCACCTTGGTGGTGTCTCTGCCAGCATGGGGATCCAGGAGGGCCAACTGTAGCAGCTACTGCTGCCACCAGCATAGAGCCTGTGCCAGGACCTGATGCTCAAACCCTCCACTGCATCCTGTCTGTAACCCTTCCTGCCTGGTGGGCTGCCATACAGTTCTAGGAAATTAATTTAAAAAGACATCAAAAAGAAGAATCCAATCAAAGTGCAGGATGTGAGCAATGTCAGTGACAGTTGGCAGGAGGGCTGAAGCTCTGCCTCTCCCCTGGCTTCTCTCCCACAGCCCCCAGCACTCCTGCAGCCCAGGCAGAGCTAACAGATCAGCTGCCCCCTGCTCACCTCTTTACACTTCTGCCAAATCCAGCCCAGCTCCAGCATCAGCCACTACCCAGCACCTCTGCAGCAGGCAAGGCTTCCCTAGCCCTGACCTGGAGTTACACGGGTTGGTTCAAGCCTGCAGCCCAGGCAGGTGTTACACAAGCTCTTCTGGGATGATTAACATTCTGAGGTACTATCAGCCCTTCAATACCCCATCAATCCTTCTCCTCTATTAACTAGCAAGGGCAGTGATGACAAATCACAGCTCTCACTTAACTGAGGGCTCTTTCTTCTCCCACCTCAGCTCCTGAGGGCAAGAGCTCCCTACACTCCAGGCTGCAGTCCTAGGGCCTGTCTGAGCAGAGCCCCTGGAGCAGCACCTCAGATGTGTGGGGTAATGAGGAAGGCAGGCAGAACTTAACCCACGAGGTATCAACACCTCAGCTCTGACTAGAGGTAACTCCAAGAAGTTTCACAATAGGACCAGCCTCTTGGCCTCAATGAGTTCTCCAGATCCAGCTCCAAGTGAAAACACCACCTCACATTCCAGCTCAACCACATCTGGGTGCAAACACCAGAGGTGACTTTTTGGGGAAAAAGTGAAAGGAATGACTGTGCCACGTGTCCAGGCAGCCACAGATCCCCCACCCCACTGCCCTGGGAATGCTCCTCTGCTGAGGGAGACCTGCACACAGCTGGGATATGTCCAGCCCACACTGCCCAGCTACTAAGTGCAGTGTCCCACTCAATGTTTCAGTTTCTACAGCCTCAGATTGTGTTCCTGTCACTGCTCCAGCCAGCAGCCCCAGGGGAGCTGCTCCTGCCCCTCAGCCAGCTGTGCTGAGGCAGAATTTTGCAACGGGCTCAGCCTCACACCCCCAAAGAAAATATCTCTTGCCTTACTCAGCAACCAGGCTCCACTAACCAGGAATGCTGCTGAGAAACAGATGCACCTGCAGGCAGGGACTGTCCCTGGGGGCTGCCTGTCAGCTGGGAGGGCAGAGCCACTGATCTTGGGGGATGCAGAGGGGCTGCTCACATCACACCCATCAGCTTGTCCTGCTGTAACTCCTGGTGACCACCCCTGACCTACCTGTCCAGGGGCTCCTTCTCCCCAGGGAACTGGTGGCTCCCTCGACCTGCAGAGGCAGGAGAGCAGTTCTGACATTGCTCTTGTCCAAAGTGCACCATTTGAGCCAACTGCTGGGGCCATCAGTAGATACTAATCCATCAGCTCCCATTCTGTGACTGCAGGGCTGCCTCCAGCAGGGATTTTTGGCCCCTCACTTCAGTGGGGAGAGGGCTGGGCAGTGAGGAGGGGTGGGCTGTATGGACGGGTGGGCTGTAGGGAGGAGTGCCTTCCTTGCACACAGTTTGAGGCAGCACCATTCAGCAACAACCATGCCCAGACCAGAGCAGGGTGTCAGGGCAGCACCCAGCACACAAAAACCCTCTCATCACACCTCTTTGACCTCCTCAGTGTCTGCTGTCTTCCTGCATCCAAGAGATACACATCAGGCCTCTAAAGACCAAGCTGCAGAAAAGCTGTGAGCATGTGAGCACACGTTTAGGCTCCCTAGGAACACCAGAGGCTCCAAGCAGTCCCCTTGATCCTTCACACAAAAGGGTGCTCAGTGCACCCAGCCTGCAAAGCTCTGCCTTAGCCTGCATGGCCTGACAAAGCTCTGCAAGGAGAATGTGACCATTCTCTGCCCAGTGGCACATTCAGCCAAGCAACAGTAAAAAAGGAACAGCCTTTCAGCACTCATTAGCTGCTGTCCAAGGGCCCTGGAAGCAGGGCTGCTTAGGCTTTACCAAATATCCTCAACTCGAATCACAGGCTGTTCCTGAGCCCTCTACGGTTATGAATCACGCCTCTCTAGAGGGGCTGATGTCCTCTCCAAGGGCCCAGAAGAGATAAAGGTTCCATGTGCAAATCAAGCAATGCAAGCTCTGAACACGTGAAAAACGTTTGTCATGAGCCAGGCCTGGCCTCCCAGCTCTTCTCCTACCCTAGATGACCCCAGAGCATCCCAGCAACTCCAGTGAAGGAGAGAAGGCCCTTTGTGGGGAGGATATTTCACAGAATCCGAGGGCTCCTCTCTTCACCTGTTGACCCTCAGCTCCATCTCCAACCCTGAGCTGTGTGAGAAGCTTGGGTTTTAGGGCTAAGGTGAGCTCTTCTTCCTAAAACACCATTTTATCAAGATGTTTCTGTGATTTATACACTTGGCTCCAGTCAGCTAGGATGAAACCCACGGATTTGGCCTGCACTGCTTCCTCCCAGGCAGCAAGGAGCCCACAGCCAAGTAGAGGTCAAGGGTGTTCAGGACACCGGGGATTTTGAAGTGCAACAGGGAAAGAAATGCAGTGATGGCAGATAACACTTGGATGCACAGTTTGTCAGAGGAAGAACTGTCTTCGCTGGATAAGATGGAAGTAATAAAATTAGCAATCCCTGGAAAACTTCCTTCTGACCACGACACCCACAAACATGTAGGAAATTGTCTCTGGCTGCGAGACACAAAAAAATGGAAGTGCACCAGTTCTAACTCCAGTCTGTGACTCCTGCATCACCTCAGGGGTTTGTAAAACACTGATACTCTCTCTGTGTTTATCCAAGTGGCCTCCCATGTTCTGCAAGTTAGGAACATAGTGGCTGACATGTGAGCTGGAAACCCTCAGGCAGTGACACAGAAGGGGTGACCCGGGTACCTGGTAGGCAGTCCTGCCGCTGGGGGACACAACTCGCGTGACCGAACGCTGATCCACCAAATCCAGAGCTGGGACAGCAGTGGGGCCAAAGATGAACTTCAGCCTGAAAGAGAATGTGTCTATAGTGAGTCACAGCACAAAAGGAGATCACCTGGCTTGGCCTCAACCCATAGGATTTAGCTCTCTGGGGTACAGGAGGCCTGTTAGCCAAAGGTTCCCACTGTAACTCAAAACCGCGCCAGCGATGGCGCCATCAGTGACACCACCAGCAATGAAGGACACTTGTCACTCTCAGCTTTGCTGACTGTCACAAAGTGACCACCAATCCCTGCCCTGTCCCTCTGAGACAATCCCAGGACTCAGTGCTCCAGGATAGCCTCTACTCTGGTTCCAGATTTCCAAGCTGTTCCCCAACAGTCCCACGTCTCTTTAAAACACCTTATATTTAAATCCGAGTGGGATTTTGCAAAACCTTTTCTTCCACGGGACACGACAACTTGTGCGTTCCTCCCTCAGCACTGTGACACTGTTCTGGCTGCCTGCTGCACAAACAGGACATGAAGTGGTTCCTGTCCTGAACTAAAATGAGACAAAGTGCATCAGAGACACAGAGGTGATTTTTTTTTAGTCACAGTGAAGCTTTTTTGGACACCAGGTGAGGAGTTATCTCTGGGCAGCCCTTCTGGCTGGACAGCCCCTTTACAGATCCCTGCTGATTGCAAAGGAAGTATAGGTGAAGCAAGAGACACAGGTTGTCCTCACAGTGATCTGACCAGCCTTTTTGTTAGTACTCCTGTACAAACTGTGTAGACAGAGCTTGATCAATTCCTCAAACAGTGAATCAAGGCCATCAAGATGGAAGTTTTTTATTCTGCTCAGCACCCCTAAATACACCAGGTCTTCTTCAGGGGAAACTGCACCTCTGGCATCAAAAGCAAAACATGCTGGCAAAGAGAAGATGCAGGAAGGAAATCCTGGGGTATGCAGAGTGCTAGGGATCCAACTGCAGTGACAGGCAGCAGGCAGTGTCACACACCCCATCACCCTTGTTGCATTCAACTGTGAAACTGTCACACGAGCACAGTAAGAGTCACCAGGGATGGTAGTGAGGGCAGCACCAGGTAAATGAGCACACAGAGACGGACCTGCCAGTGCCACGGGGAAGAGGGGGTTGTGCTCTGGGACACCTTAACTGGCTGTTCTGGATGAGCTGCCCTGGGTCAGATTATTGATCAGTTGGTCTGGAATCCCTCCCCCAGTCATGGCCCACACATCCTCAGAGCCAGCAGAGAGGAGGATGATGCACATCTCCTTGAGCAACAGGAAATGGAGCAGGGAAGCTGGTTGAAAACCTAGAGAATGAATGAGTCATTTTGCAGTGATCACATCTCCTCTATCACAATCACAACTCAGGTATAAATTATTCTTTCTTTACCCACCAAACTGCAGCAGTAGGAAGCTAAAAAGGCTATCAGGGCAATGCTTAAGACACTCCACTACACATGGAACCTCTCATAGCAGCAGTTTTACATCATAATCCAGCTACCAGCAGGGCTCAGAGACAGCAAATTTATTCCAGATAAACACCCAGGGACAGCACATGCCTCATGTTACTCCACCCTCCCTAAAAACCCTTTCCCTTTCCTTTCCTTCCAAGCAGGATACACCAGGATGCAGGGACACACCACTGCACAGTGTTTATGAAGCTGAGGGTGCCTGGGATGGGGTAGAAATGAACTCAGCCAGGTTTGCTGCCTGTAAAATGTTACCCCTGCACAGCTCTCCCCTGGGCCCCAGGGCTGTGAGGCAGCACCATGGAGGCACCTGCTGGTGTCTGGCTGCTGCTCTGCTCAGTGCTGGAAAACTCACCCCAGAAAGTGGGAAAATAAAGAGCTGTGAGTCCTGAAGGTCCAGCTATTCCCTGTCTGCACATCCCTGTGAGAAGGATTTTATCTCTTTCTGATGCCATGCAAGGGTGTGTGATAAGTCAGACATGGACATCTGGACTATAGTCCAGACAGTTCCTGGGCTTAAAGGTTATTCCAGATCTGTATATCCAGCTGTTCTGAATGTGTTCCAAATTGCTCAGGGGCAACTAAGTTAACTTTACAGGCCTTTTATCCACTGAGAAAGATCTGTGTAGTCTAGATTAGTTACAAAGAGTAAACAAGAAAATCAGCAGTGATGAAAAGATAGTACAAAACATGAGCAGGAGAACAGAAGAAAGCAGAGGAACATTTCCAACTGCAGGAAAGACACAAAGAGCCAAGGCCTGGAGTCTCAGCAGCAGGGCTGACCTATGTGTCTGAGTCAAGCTCATTGAGAACAAGCCAAGCAGACAAAACTTCTTCCAGGAAGACCAAAACTTCAGTTGCACAAACTCAAGGCAAGGAGGATTGGCTTCATCTGAGGACTGAGAGGAGGTGGGTGGGGGAACACTCCACATAAGACATTCCTTAATGATTAGGTTTGGGACTATAAGGGGCCTGAGCTTAACGAGTTTCTGTAACTCTTTCTAATTTTGGGAATTCTTTTTTCATGTATATAATTTGATCAGTCTAACAGGAAATAAGTAAAGGGAAATGCCCAAAGCAAATTCAGTGACTATCAAGAGATTTGGAAGAGATTTAGAAATGAAATCAGAATACTTCTGAGACACTGGTCACAGGGAATGGATGGAAATCTGCCTGCCAAGAGTTACCACCCAACTGTTACTAAACTTAACAAGGGAATCTCTTTCCTCCTCTTTTCTTTTCTGACAAGAAGGAAACAAGAAGTTACAAGACTTGTCAGACATAGCCCCACTCTTCAAGGGCCACTGTGGGAGAAGAGGGAGCCAGGATGCACACTGTTCACAAGTGTTAGGTGAAATCAGTTTAGACTCGGAGATATTAAGGCCTGAAGGGTTCCTGGTGATCTCCTTTACTGGCTAAATTACAGGCAAGAACACAAATCTGAAAAGCCTTTCTTATTGTGCCTTTTCTCTGCCTTCAACACCAACTAGTAGGGGCTGCAGAGGTTGTGAAACTTGGATCTGCCAGGAAACTGTTTGGGAATGACTGAAATATTCACAAGCTTCAGTCAATGCAGGGATGATGAAGTTGACATGACTTATCCTAAACAGAAGAAAACCCTTAATCATCAAGTTAACAATCCCCTTGTGCAGAAAAATGATACACTCACATCTCCCTTTCACACCTCAGGAGGGGGGATCTCAGGCTGCTGCTGTGCTCTCAGTGATATGGACACAGTGGGGATGCAGCATTCCAGCACCATGGAGCACTCTGACACACAGTCCATTCCCACAGAAAACTCATTCCAGATCTGAGCCTGGACTGAGAGCTCAGGTCAAACATTCTGGGTTTCTGCACATTCAATCCACCCAAATTCAAGCAGGTGATCCCAGCAGGTTCCCTGATACACACATAATTGCATGAATGTCTGGAAAAAACCCTTGAGATAATCTCTTTGGACCTTCATTTCCATTACCAACAAAACCACATAGCAATTCTGTGTGAGAAACAGGTACTGGTCAAACACAGGAAAACACAGTGGCAGAATGATGGGAGCAGATTATCAACTGCCCTTTAGCAGGACAAGAACTAAAGTAAAAGGTACCTACCCCAGCAGCAGGTCATCAGGGACTGCAACAAAAGGAAAACAAAGTGTGATTGTGCTGAACTTCCCCACTGTGAGAGACATCAACATCAGAGGAAGGGGGGAATTCTCCCCAAAATACCCCCCAGGCCACCCAGGACTGATCTGGCCACCAAAAAACAACAAGGAGCAGCATAACAATCTGCTGTGGAAGTCCTAAAGTACTTAGCAAGTAGAGCAAATAAATATACCTTCAGAACCATAGGGATTAATTCTAAAAAGCCCAAATATACTTATTTTTATAATATTCTAAATATAAAGCATGTGAGAAAAGCCATGTGGCCTCACCATGCAGAGTAAGATGTTGGTTAAAAATATATTAATGGGTTTCCCTGAAACTCTCTTGGCATGAGTTGAAAACTCTGGCATCAAAGCTTTGAAAATGTTGTTCTTTTCCCAGCACAGCCTTGCAGGGCACCACTGCTTTATAGCTCCTCATACAGCAGCCAGAAACATTGTGTCTTCACTTGTTAGAATGGCTTGTTAAGATGGAAAATTACACTTAAAAAGATGAGTGTGTTTGTTGTAGCTAAGACACTGCAGCTCACACTGACCATCCAATCTGATCTCTGTTATCACTAAAGGGACACAGTGCACTAGGTCTCTCTATTCCACTGGAAGATCAGGACTTTTGACTTCCAAATCCTTTGTTCCAATGATTTGAAATATTTTCTATGACTTCCACTGTTGGTTTGACTTTTCCAACTCTAATTTAATTCTCTGAAGTGATGGAGCAGTTTGTTTCTGCAGCTGTGTCCCAGCCTCTGTCTCAGGACTATCTGGGAGAATTATTCCTGAAAAAGGAATGTTGGCTTTTTTTTTTTTTTTCCCCTTATCTACCTCAGGATTTATAAAGCTCTTTTAAGGAGTCCCATGCAAATTTTACATCTCCTCCAACCTGACAGGAGCCACACTGCAAGTAAACCAAAAATTGGTGTGGCCACTCTGACAGTTCAGATGTTAATTCTCTGCTCACTCCCCACTCCAACATGGTGCTCAAACAGACTTCTCTGAATGTTGATTTTGTTGGTTTTAGTGTAGTTAAAAATATTCCCTAAATAGACACTTTCCTTAGGAAGAACCATCCTGCACTTCCAAACACATACACTTCCATAAACACAACCAGTAATGTCCTTTCAGCACAGATTACAGAACTAGATTAGTGAAGGTAACAGTTCTTAATTAGCTGCTAGAATTGGCCAAGATTTCACTGCTGGTTCACTCAACCAGCAGGACAGTTGTTCTTCGCCCTCTGCTGGTCAGTCTTGAAATGTGATCGACGTCCCTTTCAACTCTAGTTTTTAAATCAGTGAATTTATGAAAACAGCAGCAGAACAGACACAACAAGATGTGTCAGTGACCATCCCTCAAGTGCGACCACTTACACTCCAAGCTCCAAGCAAGCAGCATTGCCTTAGGTCCCAAGCTCAAACAAGTGTCTGACCTGGTCTAATTTTTGGAAGGACCTGACTTTTAGAAGGGGGCTGCTCCTCATTACCTGTGCTTCAAACCCCTTCGTGTCCAGACAAGTGATACCAGGTACAGCAATTAAATATACACTCACAGCCACTGGATTAATTCTAAGAAAAATGCAGAAGCCCAAATATACTGGCTTTTATAATATCCCACTTTTAAAAGCTTGCAAAAAAAAAAAAGGTATGTGGTCCCAACAACTTAGTCTGTCTGTCCTGGAAGTGAAGGCCACCCCTTCTGTGCCAGCCTGCAGGACAGGAGCCAGGGGAAGCTGACACCCCTGCAGATCTGACAGCACCAGTATTGCTGGCCCACTGGGATGGTTCTGTTTTTCTTTACCTACCATGTGATGTCTCCTGAAAGGCCTTTTTGATCTCTTTCAAAAGCTGTTCTGCAACTGCTGGCAAGGTACTGTCCATCCTGGGCACTGGCCTGGTGGCTGGAAGCAAAACAGAGAACAGGAGACAGTGAGGAACAGTGAGGTCCCTGCAGGTGCCACAGAGCGGGACAGTTTATCTGGGCTGTTCTCTGCCTCAACCCTGCACCAGGGCACCCTCAGCACTTACTGAAACGCGCTTTTCACACTTTGTCGGACCAAAGGGTTTCTCAAAACCACGCTGGTGTCTCTCAGACACGACTACGTACAGACAGGTCCGTGGCAAAGCCGGGGCAGGGGTGACACAGACGGGGACAGGACAAGGCCCCAGCCGGGTGGGGCAGCTGCCACCCCGGGAGGCCGCACAGCCCCGGCTGGCCCGGCCCCCGCTGCCCGCTGAGCTGCTCCCTGGTTACGGCAGAACCGGGTCAGAGCTCCCGAGAGCGCCGGGCCCGGCGGGGCCTACCTGTGCCCCCCCCTCCGGGCCTACCTGTGCCCCCCGCACCGCCCCCGGG